ATCAAATACTTACCAATATTTGGTAAATGCCACCAGGAAGAAAGCTAAGGAAATTGTAGGACTCACTTCATTTTCCCCCCTTCTCTCAGTAATGACAGTCCTGTGCTGCTTTGCCTTGGTCCAGTGTCTGAAAATAACCATTTCACCTTTGTTGTATAGTTATCCAGTTGTGTATGACAGGAGGTTTAGTCTGGTACTAGTTACTTTGTCATGGTTAGATGTGTATGTTATTTTTTGACTGGTTCCCTTTTTGCTCAATATTATGTTTGTGGATTCATGCTTGTTGCTGAGTGAAATATTTAGCTCACTTCTTATTTCTTTATGGTATTCTATAACTGAATATATCACAATTTATTTATATATTCTATTGTTGGACATTTGAGTAGTTTCCATTTTGGAGCTATTATAAATAATGCTATTATAAACATTCTTACAACAAATGTCTTTTGGTATATGAACTCCTGTTGGGTATATATCTACAAATGGATTTGCTGGATGGGCTATGCATTTAGTCAGGTTTACCCGTATTGTCCATTAGTTTTGCAAAATAGTTGCACCAACTTTCAAGCTTATGTACAGTTGTATGAGAGTCCCAGTTACTCCATGCTTCATTAACACTTAGTACTGTCAACTTTTTAAATGTTAGCCCTTCTGGTGGGTATGTTTTAGCTTGTACTTTCTGCTTTCCAGGGAAGTTGATCACCTTTTCATATGCTTACTGACTTTTTGTATATCTATTGGCCTATTCATATCTTTTGTCCATTTTTCTTTTGGATTGTCTGACTTTTTTCTTTTGTTGATTAACCGGTTAATCTATTGAGTATTTTTCCATTCCAGATTTCAGTCCTTTGTCAGTTACACATATTGTACACATCTTATTCTACTTTGTGGCATGCCTTTTTACCTTAACAGTATGTTTTGATGAACAGAGGTTCTTAATTTTAATGTAGTCCAATTTGTCAATATTTTCATTTTGATGTCTTATGTTTGAAATCTTTCCTACCCCATGGTCATAAAAACATATTTTTTATTATTATTTAGAAGCTTTATTACTTTACCAGTGACATTTACATCTGAAGCACATCTAGAAAAAAACTTTTGGAGTAGTGTAAAGAAAGAATCATTATTTCTTTTCCATATGGATATACAATTGACTCAATCCCATTTATTACAAAGACAGTCCTTTTTTATATTCATAAATATCTATTTCTGTTCTCTATTCTGTCTTGTTGGTCTATTTATCTATTCTCGTGCCCGTATCACATTCTTAGTTACTGTAGCTTTATTATAAACCTCTCATATAGTGTGAGTCCTCCACCTCTGTTCTTCAAGTTTATTTGGTCTATTCTAGAACAGTACTAGGTGGGATTGATTAGCATTACACTGAAATCTTGATAATATTTAATCTTTTAATTCATGGATATGATAAAGCTCTCTTATATTTTCTTTAATTTTTCTCAATCATGTTTTACAGTTTTTGTCTGTACAGTTTTTGTATGTCTTTCATTATATTTATTAGTAGGTATTTGATGTTTCTTGATGCTATTGTAAATCATATTTAAAATTTTCCCTTTATTGTTGGTATTCTATAGGAATACTACCATTTTTCGGGTATGTTTATCTTTTTTTAAATGTTTATTTTTGAGAGAGAGAGAGAGAGAGAGAAAGAGTACAACCGGGAAAGGGGCAGTGGGAAGGGGTACAGAGGATCTCAAGTGGGCTCTGCACTGACAGCAGCAAGCCCAATGCCAGCCTTGAACTCACCAACCACAAGATCATGACCTGAGCTGATGTTGGGTGTTCAGCTGACTGAGCCACTCAGGTGCCCCTGTATATTTATCTTTCTATTCAACAACCTTACTAAATACATTTTTAATTTTAGCAATTCATCTCTAGATTCTTCTGATTTTCTGCATACAGAATCATGTCTATAAATAACTGTTTTACTTCTTTCTACTCTGATGGCTTTCTTTTTCTTACCATACTGTAGTTCCTAGGACCTCCAGTAGACTGTCAAATAGAAATAACGATGAACATATCCTTCATCTCTTGTACCCAATATCCAGGGGAAATGTGTCAATATCTGCCATGTTTCTAAATAATCCATGTATCAAAGAATAAATCATGATTAAAATATAAAACGTTACATTGAAAAAAATGTTATATTGGAACAGTTAATGAGAGTGTGGCACATAAAACTAGAAGGATATAGATAAAGCCATACTTAGAAATTTTATAGCCTTAAATGCATATACACAAAAAAGGGGGAGGGCTAAAAAAATCAATGAACTAAGTGCCCATCTAAAAGTGTTAAAAAAAGAGCAAATTAAACCTAAAGATAGCAGAATGGAGGAAATACTAATGATTACAGCAGGAATTAAATAGAAAACAAACAGAAAACAAAGGATTATAACCATCTATTTGTTTAAGGAATCTGGGCTAATTCAAGTTTACGGCTACCATGAATAAAGTTGCTATAAATATTCATGCACAGGTTTTTACATGAGCATATGTTTCAATGCCCAGGAGAACAACTGCTGGCTCATATGGTTCTGGTATAGTTTGTTTATAGGAAAACGCCAATCTGTTTTCCATAGTAGCTGTACCATTTTACATTCCCACCATCAACAGATGAGAGATTCATTTCTCCTTACCAGCATTTGGTATTATCACCAAATTTTTTATTTTAGCCATTCTGACAGGTGTGCAAATCAATTAAAAATATTTCATTCAGATTAGTGTATTTTTAAGGATATTATTTTTAAGTAATGTCTACACCCAACATGAGATCAAACTCACAACCCTGAGATCAAGAGTCACATGCTCCACCAACTAAGCCAGCCTGGTATCCTCAGATTATTTAGTAATTTTGGAGGGTGAGTTGATCTGCAAAATATTAAACCTCTATAATGAGTACTGAATTAGGTTTTTGAGGGATAGGACCCAGACATCTAGATATTTTAAAAATCTTCATTGGTGAATCTGATTTGCAGTTAAGATTATGAAGACACCTTCATCTCAGAGGAAACAAACTTAGAAGGAAAAGTCATCTTTTGAAGATACAGCTATATCTAATAATGGGAATATCATAAATAATGAAAATATGACAGGATAGTAGAGTTGAATGACATTTCAGAAATAATAACCAAGGATTCTACAACCATGGAAAATAATATTTTTTGGAAAATAATTTTTAAACTTTTCAAAATTCAAAATATATTAGTTTTAAAGAGGTCTAAGTAGACCAAAAATAATTTTAAATTTTGGTATCTAAATAATAAATGGTTAGAGTCATGAAGAATTCCTTATTACCAAGAAAGAAAAATAAAGGTGATATGGAGATGTATAATTATCCAAATCGCTGAGAAAAGATAAATAGAAAAAGTTCAGTTGGGATGAATTAAGTTATTTGATTCGAGGCTATCAAAATCTCTGCAAACCAGGAAAGTTGTGGATTGTGTCTCTAGGGGGCGCTGAATCTCTACAGAGCAATGCAGGAAAGGAAAATATTGAAAATTCTAAGAACCAAAAGTAATGCTTCATGAATAGCAGTCACATCAATTAGAAAATTAGAGTATATTATTAAGAAAGGAGCAAGTCTAAGAGTAAGAGGTTTAAGGGAAACAAAGAGAAATGTCTCCCTAGTCCCCACTCTGGCTTAAGAAGTCCAGTAAGACTCTAAACCACCCCTGCCTCTCCAGTGCAACCAGACTCCAGACTAATAATAGCTATATGTCATTTTGGAGATGATAGTAATGACACCTGAATGGTGAGGCCCAGTCAGGGCAGATTAGGTAGGTCTAAGTGGCCAAACCTGCCCATCCTCTTGTGCTCCCTACCTGAAATTATGACCCTAGGATCCACCCAGTCACTGAAACCAAAAACTTGGGCTTCACTCTTGACTCTAATACCTTCCACTAATAATATGACTAGTTTCCCTACATGATTACTTTAGAAATTATTCTGAACAATTCATGCTCTTCCAAAATATACTCTTCCATAGCAAACTATGGGTTCCATCCTTGCTACTTCCCCGCATTCCCCAGCAACATCACTTAGTCCTAGTCTCATATGGAGATGCTGAAGGTCACTCAAGAAGATTTTCAGAATTTTGTCTACAAGTTGATGCATTTGAGTACTGTAAGGTTTTAAAAGAAAAAATTATTAGACTTCTAGGATTAGTAATTACTTGTTATACTGAAATGACTTTTAGTATAATGTTGCTTAAATATGTCCAAATCCAACATTAGGTACAGACTTCTTATAACTCTTATGTGACCATAAAATCCAAAGAAGCCTACATACTGGGGCACCTGGGTGACTCAGTTGGTTAAGCATCCTACTCTTGGTTTCAGCTCAGGTCATGATCTCATGGTCCATGAGCTCAAGCCCTGCATTGGGCTCTATGCTGACAGTGCAGAGCCTGCTAGGGATTCTTTCTCTCTCCCCTTCCCTTGTTTTCGTGCATACACTCTCACTCACTTGCTCTCTCTCTTTCAAAATAAATAAACTCAAAAAACCCTACATATTATATACAAACCAAATTACAACTAATAAATTGTCAACATTAATTTATTATCATGGCTGATCCTGTTTTGCTGAAACTAAATTACCTCTCACATGAATTTGGTACTAATTGCTTTGGAGGAGGTTCTTTGCATTTGGCAAGTTGATACTACCTTGGGCAGAGCAGTGACTCAATTATAAGACATTTATCTAATTGAATTGCATGCATTACTTGGTTCACGCATTCTCAGTTTATCAACTTTAGATTTACAGAATTTTTTAATAAAACTAAATATACCTATTGCTTTTAAAACAATTTTAGTTTTTTTAAGCCAAAAGTATTCTATGACATGATAAATTCTTCCTGTTAACTTCTACCAAACATCTGTACCATTCCCCTACTCCAACCATAACCATTTCACTTTCTGCTCTTACAATTCCTTTAAGATTCCACATATAAGAGATATCATACAGTATTTGTCTGTTTGACTTACAACACTTAGCATGTTTTCAAGGTCCACCCGTGTTGTAGCAAATGGCAGAATTCTTTTCTCATGACTGAATAGTATTCCATTACATATATGTATATGTATGTGTATTTGTATGTGTATACACATACATGCCACCACATCTTCTTTATGCATTCATCCTTTGCCAGACATCTGTTTCCATATCCTGACTATTGTGAATGATGCTGCAATAAAAATGGGAGTACATGTCTCTTCCAACAATGTGTTTTTATTTCCTTTGGATATATACCATATAACAAGATCATATGGTAGTTCTACTTTTAATTTGTGGGAAAATCTCCATGCTGTTCTTCATAGTGGCTGACCCAATTTACTTACTATTATATCTATTAACTTTTAATAAAGTAGTAACATTTGCATTTATCTAGTCACACCTTGGCTTATAACACAATTAACAATGTTGTACCTCCCAGATATGATACTTAATGAATCTAATAATGGAACTTCTGACAGTACAACATATGGTTATTTATGAGTAAATTCAGGTTTGAGAAGTAGATGAAGATATTTTTTAGTCTATGGACTCAGAAGACATACAATTCTTACAAACTCTTTCATTGTATTTCATAATTGCATATTTGATGGTATACTTTGTAGAAATTCTAAGATTGAACAAATTAGCAACTTTCAAAGATGCACTCATTTTTCAGGTCTGTGACCTGTTGTGTCAACATTTATAAGTCATTGTTTTTACTTGACCACTCCATGCTCTGGATGCTTCTTCAATCATTGCCTAGAATGATTACAGAAAAATCATGTCCAAGTGTAGGGTCACTTCCCCCAAACATATTTTAGGGCTATAGACGAGGACCTGAAGGAGGCTCTATTAAATAGCCCAGACCTTTCCTCCACCAAGAGTACCAAGGTATGACAGGGCTTTCCTGGTGTTGCAGAGGTGTTCTGAATTTCATCCACATTCTCTCCTGGGCCTAGATTAAATCCTACTCCTCTGGCTAGCTTAAGGTCCCAGTAGTGGTGGCCATAGTAGAGTACTTTGTTCACTCCAGCGGAGACTCCTATCCTCACTCTCCCAGTGTCCCTCTGGCCTGATAGTTTAGTCTCTAAAATGGACTTTAGCCCAGTGGAAGGGTCAATCTTCCTCGCTACAGGCATACCACAGGAAGAGGGTTGTATACAAAGGAGACTCATTTCTGCTCAGACACCAGACTACACCACAAGGATCCTCTTGTTCCCGGCCTTTTACCTCTTTAAGCCCTTCCCAGCGCTGCCAGGCCCATGTTTTGCACTTCTGGCTGCCACCCTCAACCACTAACTTTTACCAGCACAGTAAAAATGGTATTAGTCACAATTGGCTGGCCAAGAGTAAGAATCTAATTATTGCTAAATTTCTTGGATATATTAGAATTATGTTTTTATTGGAAAGTGTCCTTTTTGGGAGATGTGTGCTGATGTATTCACACACACGCACACACACACACAGCACTTGTACAGTATATTCATGTTTTCTACTAACTGTCTGCTTATAAATAGAAAATCTGAGGTCAAAGGAGATCTGTTCATAGGTTAAGGCACCAGAATTATACATGATTTTGCCAAAGGGTGATTGATTAATCCTAAAGGTATTTTTGCTCCTGGCAGGGAGAACAACTGGGTGCCACTGCATCAGCCTCAGCATTGTCTATCTTGGACCACAAACTGATTGTAATGTGGAGAGGGAACATCAAATACGAAATGAGCATGTCTGGGTGTCTGTAAATTGAGAACCATGTGTACCCCTGACAGCTGGTCTTAAAAATAACATGAAGCACAAGCAAAGGGTTCAGTCTGGTTGCCAGGCAACCTTGCCACCAGCATCCTTCAGGTTGACCTTTCTATCTACATCTCTTAATATTTATACTTACAGGACCTCCCTTGATTCACTTAACATTTAGTGAGTACTATTTGTATAAGTGGAGGGGATCCAGGATAGACCAGACCATAAGCTCTGAAATAAAAGGGCAGAATCCTTGCCCTCAAGCATCTTACAGTCTAATGGGGTGGGGGTAGGGGGGCTCGGTGTCTCAGTCAGTTAAGTATTGCACTCTTGATCTCAGCTCAGGTCATGATCTCATGGTTTATGAGACTGAGCTCTGTGTAGGGCTCCCTGCTGACAGCATACAGCCTGTTTTGGATTCTCTCTCCCTCTCTCTCTGCCTCTTACTCGCATGGACTTGCTTTCTCAAATAAACTTAAAACATTTTTTTAAAGCAGGTATACAATTACTATGATTATGTTTAACATAATCCTTTACTACTTGCAACACAATTACATCTGCAAGGATCCTTTCACCAAAGTAACATTTACAACTTCCAGGCATCAAAACCTATTATTTTGGGGGGACATTTTCAGCCTACTACAAATGGGGGACTTTGGAAAGCCCACTGGGGGGGGTAGAGGGAGAGAGAATCCCAAGCAGGATCTACACCCAGTGTGGAGACTGACACAGGGCCTGATCTCACAACTGTGAGATCATGACTTGAGCTGAAATGAAGAGTTAGAGGCTTAATTGACTGAGCCTCCCAGGCGCCCCGGAAAGCCCACTTCTAAGGAGTGACTACTCAAGTTCTTATTTATTATCTGAACAGCTGGCTGGCTACTAGAGTTAAGCTATATTCAAAATGGTATCCTGCTTCTCTGTAAGCCCAGGCGGAGGTGCCTTCCTTTGCTACCTTTACCATCATATTTCCTCAAACTTTCATTAACTGAAGTAACCTGGGTAGGTCTCTGTTGCTTGCCAATTGAAAGGGTCAAACTGTAACAAAATAGCTGACCTAAGGAGGCTTCATTTTATATATAATTTTTATACAAATATCAATAGTTAATTGTAGATCTTTGGACTATTAGTTTAGCCTCTACACCCCTTCTCTGAGAACTTCCTCTCCAACTATGGGAGTAGGCCCTTTTGCATATGCTGATACTAAATGACAGTAGCCCCGTAGTCAGAGCTGAATGGATCAAAGGCAGATGCTTAACTAAGTTGGATCAATCATATTCTCTTCAGGGTTGAGACACTGCTCATTTGGTTTCTGGAATTGAAATGGATTGTTGATATAGCCCTGAAAGGCCATCTTTTTGCAAGTAAAAACCATCATGTAGAGAGTAGCAGAGACAAATGACCATGAGAACTCAAGAAAATGCAGCTGCCTTGATTCTTTTTTTAAATTTATTTTAAACTTAAAATTTTTTTTGATGTTTACTTATTTTTTTGAGAGAGACCAGGCACGAGCAAGAGAGGGACAGAGAGAGAGGGAAACATAGAATCCAAAGCAGGCTCCAGGTTCAGAGCTATCAGCACAGAGCCTGATGGGGGGCTCAAACTCCTTGATTGCAAAATCATGATCTGGGCTGAAGTCATATGCTTAACCGATTGAGCCACTCACCCAGGCGCCCCTAAACTTTTTTAAAAAGTTTTTCATTTTGAGAGAGTGCATGCGCATGTGTGCATATGATTGGGGGAGGGGCGGGGGAAGGGAACAGAGAGAGAATCTCAAGTAGGCTCTACCCTGTCAGTACAGAGCCTGAGGTGGGGCTATCTCACAAACTACCCGATCATGACATGAGCTGAAATCAAGAGTCAGACACTCAACAATTGACTGAGTTATCCAGCGCCTTTTTTTTTTTAAGTTTTTTTTTTTTTTTTTTAAGAGAAAGAGGGGGAGAGAGAGCAAGTGGGGGGAGAGGGGCAGAGAGAATCCCAAGCAGCCTTCATGCTCAGCTGAGAGCCGGACATGGGGCTCAATCCCACAACCTGGGATCACTACCTGAACCAAAATCAAGAGTTGGTCACTCAATCGACTGAGCCACCCAGGCTCCCCCACAGCTGCTTTGATTCATAATGGCCTCACTTGTTAGAGACTCAAGTGAAACCAAGCTATATTTCTGCTCCCCATGCCCCAGTGTCCTGATAGTAAATTTCCTTTTTTTGCTTAGGCAGCCTGTCAGAAACCAAAAGAAGTTTGACTGATTTTCAAACCTGGTTTAAGTACTTCTTACCTTATTCCCATAAATTTATGCAGGCTCATTAGCTAAAATGATGCTGTAACTTGGGTTATTTCTGAAAAGGTCCCTCTAAAACCTCCAGAGATTAGCCATGAGCATTAGTCCTTTCTAATGTTTTAATATTAGAATCATTGGATAAGCATAATACTATGATGATGGTATTTTCATTTCATTTCATTAAAGGCACCTTAGAGGGGTTTCTAATTCAAGCCCTTCACTTTCAAAGAAACTAAAGCAAAAAGTGTCCAAGAATCTTGCCCCAGTGTGGGATTAGAACCTTGTTTCTGTCAATACGCAGGCCAAACTCCTAAACCAATATATACATATTTTTTTAAAGTAATCTCGGGGCGCCTGGGTGGCTCAGTTGGTCAAGCGTCTGACTTTGGCTCAGGTCATGATCTCATAGTTCATGGGTTCGAGCCCGACATCAGGCTCTGAGCTGACAGCTAGCTCAGAGGCTGGAGCCTGTTTCAGATTCTGTGTCTCCCTCTCTCTCTGACCCTCCCCTGCTCATCCTGTCTCTCTCTCTCAGAAATAAATTAAAAAAAATTAAAAGTAATCTCTATGTCCAATGTGGGCTTGAACTCACAACCCCAAGATCAAGAGTTGCATATTCCATCAACTGAGCCAGCCAGGTGCCAATGCCAATGAATTTTTTCTTAAAATTTTTTTAATGTTTTATTTATTTCTAGGAAAGAGAGAGAGACACCGTGAGCAGGGGAGGGTCAGAGAGAGAGGAAGTCACAGACTCTGAAACAGGCTCCAGGCTCTGGGCTGGCAGTCAGCACAGAGCCCGACGTGGGGCCTGAACCCACGAACCGCGAGGTCATGACCTAAGCGAAAGTCGGACGCTTAACCGACTAAGCCACCCAGGTGCCCCACCAATGACTTTTTTAACGCCAAGATGGTATTCTTCTTTCCTTAAATTCCAAGTGAGAACACTCAACAATCTTTATTGATTGCCCACTTAATTGGCTAGAACTT